TTGGGTTTTTATTCTGTTCCCTTCATCTTCATGTGTAGTTTTGTGCCTGTAGAGGTAGTTTGATTGTAACTGCCCTGTAGGATGTTTCCAAATCTGGTATTGTGCTGGAACTAGCTTTTATTTTCTTGTGTAAAATTGCTGTAGTTATTCAGGGTCTCTTGTCTTCCCTAATAATTTTAGCATTGTTTCTTATTACTTGCATCATTTTGAATATGTAAATTGCTATGTATAGTATGAATACTATGATTAAATTAATTCTTCCTATCCATGAAAATGGAAGATTTTTTTTGTGTCTTCTTTGATTTCTTGCTTTAATATGTTGTAATTTTCATTGCAAAGCTTTTTGACATCCTTGGTTAAATTTATTCCAAGGTACTTAAATATTTTATTGCTATTGTGAATGGTACTGACCTTACAAGTCCTTACTTAGCCATGGCATTTTCTGTGAATACAAAGGTATTGATTTTTGCATGATGATTTTATATCTCAGTATAGAAATAAAGAGCTAAGTTCAAGAGGGCAAAGCCAAAGTGAGTTTATTGTGTAGAAAGCTGTACAGAGTCCTACGAGACAGGAGAGGCCCAGAGTTTGGAGTCCATTATCAATGAGGTGAACCTATCATTTGTGTCTTCAGTTTGTCTTTAGAATTCTCCTATGGGACATGTTTTGTTGGGACATGCAGAGGTTCCTGTTTTAGAATGATTCTTGGAAAATCTCTATACCTTCCTCTTAATTTTAATAGGAACTTAAGATATCTCTAAAAATAAAAAGATCCATACAAAATTTTGATGGCATAATCCAAAAATGTAATGAAGCAATAAGTGAGTTCAGTAAAGTTAGAAAATACAAAATCTCAAAAGTACATGCATGGGGGAGCCAGAGCAGAGGAGGGTAGTCTTTGCCTCTGCCTATGGTGCTGCCATCCCATATGGGCACCAGTTTCTGTCTTGCTTCTCTTCCTATGCGAATCTCTGTTATGGCCTGGGAAAGCAGTAGAAGATGGCCCAAGTGCTTATGCCCCTGCACTCATGTGGGAGACCCAAAATAAGATCCTGACCTCTGATTTCGGATTAGCCCAGATGAGGCTGTTGCTGCCATTTGGGGAGTGAACTAACTGATGGAAGATCTTTCTCCCTGTATCTCCCTTTGTGACTCTGCCTTTCAAAAAATAAAATATTAACAAAAAGTACATGCAGGTACCCCTAAGTGATGCACAACAACCCATTAGGTTGTGGAGAGAATTAAATAGAATTTGTGATTTTTTTTTACCTTTAAAGGTACAAGTATAACCTGCTATATATGCTTTTAAGTTAAATGTGTCTGTCTTTTATGTAAGTATGAGAATACTATACACATCTATAGAGCTTTGCATGCATGGCAGAGCAAGGCCTTATTGACAAGAGTGTTTAATCTCCACATGGTATTGGGGCAACATCCTCAACCCTGATAATATCCTGGCCTATTTAGCCCTAACATGGTTTGCCTTTATTAATTTTTAAAAATATTTTTATTAATTTGTTAGAGCAGGAGAGAGGAGGGAAGAAAGGAAGCCAGCAAGGGAATTGGGAGACAAAGAGAAAAGAAAGAGAGTGCTCCCACCCATTGGTTCACTTTCAAAATGCCTGCAACAGCCGGGAATGGACCAGGACAAAGCTAGGAGCCTGGAATTCCTTCTGGTTCTCTCAAAATCTCAATTTGATGGGAGAAGTCTTCATTCATGTCATTCATGGATTTCTTTAATTTTTGAACTTTTTTTCTTATTGTTTCTGAATAATCCTTTAATTAATATTTTGAGTTCCATTTCAAACATTTTATAAATCTCTTCATCTTCAAAGTCTAATATTGGAATGTTTTTGTATTCCTTTGGGGAACTCATGTTGTCTTCCTTATTCTTGTTTCTTGAATTTCTGAGTTTATTTTTAGGCATTTGTGGAGACACTTGTTGGATCTTTCCTCTGATGGCTTTTATTTTTCAGCTATGCCTGTGTGGCTTCTGCTCTATTAGTGAATACCCAGATGCTTGAGCTGGCTGTGGCCTGAGGGCTCTAGTCTGTGCTCCAGAGTGGGGTGAGTATCCAGGGTGACACCCATGTTGGATGTAGTATGTTTTCCTTATTGTCAGCAATGGGTAGTGGGTGATCACCTATGCTGGCATCATCACACACCTCCCCCTCTTCTGAGGTGATCAGTGCCTGAGTATTAGGCCTCAGTGGATGCATCCTTCCACCCTGCTGATTCATGAGCTGCACAAAGGATCTGTGCAGTCCTCAGGATGAGCACGGATCCTCTGGGATATCCCACCCCAATCAGGGAGCTCAGAATGTGTGGATCTGTAAACAATGATTGCCCAGAAACCCAGAAACACCTTGCACCCACTCAGTCACAGAGTTCACACAGTGTCAGCCCATGGGGCAGGCACAGTCATGTTGTGCAGAGGATCCACTCTGCCCCACTAGCCTGGTCCTATTCATGGAGAGGTAGAGATGTTCCCAGAGCCAACTGCATGTGAATATTCTGCCTAGGCAATTTGAGCCTCAGAGCCAGTGATGTGTTGAGAGGCTAGGGGCACCTTGCACTTGTACATGGGAGCCCAGCCCCCTGTCAATCATCCCAACAGACTCAAAGTCTATTGAGAACATGTATTTTTCCCTCTGGTAAAATACTGGATCCCAAACATGCACAATGCATGCTGGACACAGCCTTACTTGTTTCAAAATGATGACTTCTGCCCACCAGTTGCTGGGCACATGCAAGAGATTCTGCGTCCAGTACTGATGTCAGAATGTCACTGTATCTGCACCCATTGCTGGGAGCTGGCAAAATGACATCTGTCCTTGCCAGTCACTGGGCAAGTGCAGACGAGCTGCTGTAGCTGATATGTACTTATGTACAAAATGACACCCACCCTCTTTCATCTGGTTGCCAGGCACTGTTGTGGGGAGGAAGTAGAGATGAATAGAAAGAATAATGCCCCTTTTTTTTCCTGGGTGAGTGTGCATCCTGTTCCCCTCAGGGCTCCAGGCCAGACACAAAGTGTAGGCCTCTAGGCTCTCACTCTGGCTTTATCACCAGTAGCATGGGGTGCTGCAGTCTGATCTAACCTCACTCTCCAAAGCTGATTCTTTCTCCAGCTCTCAGCTTCTGGGGTTGTGTGTTATATCTGTGATCACTGCTGCAGATATGCACCTTCCACACACAGATCCACAACATCTCCTCCTTCTGCAGAATCTCCACTGCAGTTTTCCCTCCAACTCACCCCTGACAAAGCACATTCTCCACTTTTTATTATTTTCTTCTTGCTTAGAGTAGTCTGCCCTTTCTCTATTCTGCCACCTTGGAATCCTTGTCAAAGTAAATTTGGATTTGAGGTGTAAAATTGTTTTAGCTGTTTGTCATGACTATTTTTTGAACTAAATTTAAAACTTAAAAAATTTAATTCTTGCAAATAGATAATGGTAAATATTCTTTCAGGATGAGAAAAAGTGAAATCATGAAATGCAGTTGTTGGAGAGCCAAATAAAAACATATAATAAAGCTCTTTTTGTAAGAAAAAAGAAAAGGTATTGATCAAGATATGTAGCATAATGTTAAGAATGGAAAGGTGAATCATGGCATGGATATGGTACTATATGCTTCTACAAAATCAAATTTGAAAATCAATTCTCAGAGTTATTAACATTATTTCAGTGTGTATTCCATATTTCAGACTAAAATGCTAATGTGTGTTTGATCACTACGGGTATTCAAAACACTTTCCTTCAATGCACTATATGTATCCAATTAGAACAAACATTCAGCATCTTTTATTTGATAATGGTGGCAACCATAATTGCTTGAAATGACAGCACTTTGGTGCCATGAAATTAAAAAAAAATATTTTAGATGTGAATTTTGATACTGGAGATCTGGTGGACAGTGCTGCTGATCTATGCCAGCCTTGCCTAATCTTGCCTGATCTTCTGCAACATCTCAGTCTACTATTATAGGATGGCCTCATGTTTGTATGTCTAGTTGCTCACCATTGAGTAGGTATTTGGAATGCATGTTAAGTCACCACTTGGTGTTGCTTCACCTCATACATGAATGCCTGGGTTTACATCCTGATTCTGCTTCTGATTTCTGCTGTTGTACACTCTGGGATGCAGCAATATTGAATTACTCAAGTGATTGGATGCCTGCTTCTTTCGTGAGATGCACTGATTGAGTTCTTCTCTTGTGACTTTGATCTGACTTAGCATTTGTTGTGAACATTTGGAGAAATGAACCAGAGGATGGAATATTTCTCTGTATCTGTCTGTGCCTTTCAAGCAAATACAAGTTTAAAACAAATGAATTCAAGTTTGTTTGATATTTGTGTATTTGAGGCAATTTTTTCATGCTGTCCAGATCCCCAATTCCAGAGCCAAGGGCCAGTTTCTTAATTGGAGCATTGGATTCTCTCCACTGCAGTTCCCACCTGTCTCAGTGGCAGCTTCACCAAGTAACTTCTATAAATTCAAGCACTTCAGACCAGAGCACATTCACCAGCCAGTCCACCCCAGTGCAGCAAGGCAAGGTTTTCTTGCGCTGTCTCACTCCAAGTGCAGTGGTATACACTGTTGGTATTTCTGGCCAGACTTTGGGATCTGTGAAACAGGAAGGCTTGGAAAGGAGCCTGGTGTTTTCTCAGTTGATGGCCATCAATCAGAATGCTCAGAAAATGCAAGCTTGCCATCTGAAAATCTCTCAAGGAGTGGCCTTCACCCTCTGGCCTCTTTGTTGGTGAATGTGTCCCTAACTCAGTTTTTCCCTGACTCCACCTGCACTGCTAACTTCCACTGAGCTCAACCTTGACATCACCAATAATCAGCCAATGCCTGCACCTGTGGCAGGCAAATCCGCAGGGGTGGCGGTCAGCAGTGCTAACTATGCAACTTTTCAGAACTGCTCACTCATTACTGGCCAGGACCTGTTGTCCATGCCTCTGACTCAGACTTTCCCCTGGGGGAAATTGTTCCTACCTCTGAAGACCAGGTGGGCCATGCCTCCATAGCAGTGCACCAGAATTTTGTCAGAGAACACCATTTGGTTCTGCAATCAGTAGCTAACCTAAAAGAGAACCTCTTATCAGATTCTGAGAACAAAGCAACAAACATCCTAATTATGCTGGACACAAAATTTAAATATGTGCTAGATGGCATGATTGAGACTGTGTGTGAAGGCCTGGAAACAGACAAAATAGAGCTTGCTATGCTCCAAACTGTCCAGCTGGATGAAGATATACAAGGCTTATAAACTTCGTGTGCCCCTCCTCTCCCTTTTTGGCATCAGAGGCAGATGTTGTCCTGAAGCCCTGAGAACACAAAGAATTTCCCCATTCAAAGGAAAACTCTGCTTTTACAAGCATATGCATTCAAGAGACTTTAGATCTGCACAAAGATCACAGTTAATTATATAGAGTAGAACTGCATTACTGCAGCCTTTTCGTTCACATACAATGATCTCTTTTAAATCGATGGAGACAAAAGAATCAGATGAAATGTCTCAAGGCAAAGTTTTACCCTTTATTGACAATATCATTCTAAAGTGAAAATGGAACTTAATAATTTTTTAAATTAAAAAATGTTTACATGTAACACAGAAAACTAAATACAGCTGCAGACAATTAGAAACAATGCAATTATTTTTGTTTACCTTTATACCATTGGCACTGATAAGGTTAAACATAAATTGTACTTCAAACTGTTCTAAGGGTATCTTTTTAAAGTTCAGTGGCTTAATTATATATTTGTGTGTAGGTAGACAGAGACACACTTCTCTTTTTCAACATTTTTGGCTTAGGTCTCTACACATTTGCAAATGTGATTGCTTATAGCTCAGTGTAGCTGAGCAAGTTGGAAACTCCAAGAAAAACTCTGAAAAAAATTCACTGTGAATGTAAATATATGAGTTCTACATGCAGTGTTGATGGTGCAGAGGGGCTTGGGGAAATGTACAGGCTCTTCATCAGCATACCTCACCTGTACAAAGCATTAGGCTTGGTGGAGAAGAGATATTCCAGACTGTCCATGTCAACCAAAGATGAGAAACCGTAAATGAGAAGTGGGGAGAAACAATGCCAGGGATAATGGTAAAAGAAAGAGTCCCGCCTTAATATGTTGACCATGCAGGTATACTAAGGACTTGTCCTCCTTTTTGCCAATGAGCCAGCAGGCTGGTTCACCACACTGATGAAGTAATACCTGATTCAGTGCCCAAAGGTCACAATTATCTCGGCTATGAGCCCAGTAAACAGATGACTGTCACCCACAGAGGTGCCTGTGGGGTGCATGAACTACTGTGCCTAGGGACCTGCTATGGAGACTATCTGGGGGGATGAGCCACATCAGTGCTGAGGAGTGTCTGAAGCAACACATGAAGTTTATCTGAAATGAGACAACTTGGGATCCCCCTTCAACACAGCATCTAATAGCGACCTCTTTTATGTGGATGGCCAGATGTGGTATCAGCTTGTGGAAAGTGGATGAAGAGGTGTCAGGCAGAACAGCACCTGATGGCACACCTTTAGCTTCATAGTTCTGAGTGACAAGCACAGCAGGAAGCTGCTGCTGTGAACACTCCATTGCGTGGATGTACTTGGGTATTTTCTAGAGTGTTGAGGGTCTGCATAGCTTAACATCAGGGACTATGACCATCAGGGCCAGGAGAGTTGGTTTGGACTGTTGTAGGACTCCTCTTAAAATAACAGAGGGGTGAGAATTGGGGAACAGCATGTAAGATGGCTCTTTCGAGACCCACATCCTATATTAGAGTGTGTAGGTTTGAGTCCCACTCCACTTCCAATCCAGCTTCCTACTAAAGTGCACCCTAGGAGGCAGCATATAATAGCTCAGGTACTTGGGTCTGTGCCATCCACACTGAGTTCTGGGATTTTCACTTCATAAAACCTGATGTTTTCACATCACAACCTAGCTGAATTCCAGCTATTGTGAATATCTGGAGAGAACAATGGATGAGTGATCACTGTGCCTTTAATGTGAATAAAATTAATTTTCAAAATTTAAATAAACCTCCTGCATCCATGTGGTCAGACTGGGACTATCCCAGTTGGGCCCCTTCCCTCTTGGGATGGCAGCTGCATAGACTAATTGAAAAAATGCCTGAATACCTCAGTGGCCTCCTTTTCTCAGTTGTGCATCATTGTTTGACATACAAAGTTCATGATGGAGTGTTATTTTCCAGATCACCAACACACATTGCAGCAAAGGAACACCTTATGTTCATCCACTCTGCATGGAGGACCCCATCAGCTCTGCTTCTCAGATGATATGAGTCTCTCATATGGGTTACAGGGACCCAGATACTTCAGCCATCACTCCCTCCAAAAGTGCATATCAGCATAAAGCTGGAATTGAGAGTTGTGACTGTAACCTAGGCATGCCAATATAGGATGTGGACATACTAAGTAGGGTTGTAACACATGCCAAATGTCAATCCCTCAGTGAATTTTTGAAGTGCCTCTGTATATCCAAGGCTTTCAGAGAAAGGAGACAGAGCCTTCTGGGCCCTGCCCCTTTACTACATAGTTTCTGCTTCTCCCCAACATTGCACACTGCTTCATGTGTCTCTCTCTGTGCATGCTCACTTCTGAGGTCTCTTCAGGCAGACAGGGAAGAGCAGCAGAGCACAGAAGAGTGGGTCTGGGAGACAAGGCAGATTAGGGAAAAACTGGACTGTGACAGTTTCTGCCTGGATCCTGCCACTTAGTGTTTAGTGACCACATCTGAAGCAGAGGAAAATTGTTCATCTACATGCCAAAAACTGAAATATAATCTTTATATTACCCCAGGCATGAAAGTCAAATGAAAATGAATTGAAGCTTACATAAAAGGTCTGAGAATATAAAACCCCTTACAAATGGAAGCAAATTCATTGATATTAGTCTCAACAATGATTGTTTAGATATGACACTAAACGCATAGGTGACAAAAGCAAAGACTGAAAAAAATCTAAGAAATATTCTGCATGTGATAGGAAAAACAGAACAGATAAAGCAAGAAATGAAGAAAACATTGGGCAACCTGAGTTTGAACACAAACAACTCAAAAACAAATATTGTAATAAAAATTGCACAAAGGATTGATCAGTTTTCCATTGAATATATACAAGTAGCCAACAGGTAACTTAAAAGGGGTTCAGAAACAGCTAATAAAGACTACAATGCTAATTAAGACCACAGTGATTATCATCTCATATGTGTTAAAACAATTATCCAAAAGTAAAAAGATAACATTGTCCCAGGGTGAAAAAAAGGAATATAAAAATTGTTGCTGAGAAAGTAAATTGGTACATCCAATACAGAAAACATTATGTAGGTCTTCAATCAAAATTAAACATAGAACATATGACAAAGCAATCTCACAACTGTGTGTATATCCAAAGGAAACCAAATCAGTATCTCAAATAGATACCTTTATCTCCACATTACTGGCAGCATTATCTACAAGAACAAGATATGGAGACAACTCCACTGTCAACATATGAATAAAGAAAATGTGATAAACACACATACACAGGAATCACAGACAACCTTAATAAGGAAATTCTTCCATTTTGTCAGGATGTGGATCCAAAAATATGAATGTGGACATTAGGCTATTTGAAATAAGGCACAGAAAGATAAATGCCACACAATATCACTCATATGTGTAATCTAAGAAAGTCGCACTTAATCACAGAATAGAATGGTGGTTGTCATGGGCTGAGAGTGAAGGACATGGGAAAATGTTAGCTGAACACACATTTGCAGCTATGAGATAAATTAACAAAATTAACACCTCAAGACCTTAATATTCAACACAGTAAATAGTTGATTATGATATCACATACTCACAACTTGCTAATATCTTCCATATTCTTTAATAACATAGGGATGTAATGTGATGGATATATTAGATTGTCTTAATCATTTCACAATGTATATGTACAAGAGGATTCCAGAAAGTTTATGAAAAAATGTAATCAAACGATAATGTGAATTGTCCATAACTTTTTAATGTCCCTCACATAGCAAAACATCAGTTTTCATACCTTGATGATACACAAATTGTGTCAGTCATACTCTGACAATCTTGAAAAAATTAAAACAAGCAAAACTAAACAGGCTCCTATATTAAAATATAAATCCAAAATAACTTAGTAAACTAGACATATCTACAGGATTTGGAAGACTTTCATGCAAGAAAAATCATTTTTAAAACACACATAAATTTGAGTGGTCAAAATTTCTATTTCGAAAGTGCAAATAGAGATGGCACCCTGTACAGAGAAAGTGCAAGTGCTAAGACGTTGCCCAAGTACCAAATTACAGGGTCTTTCTGCTTCTCTAAAACCTGGGTGAAAACCCCAAGCCAAATAAAACTTCTGTTTCTACCTTACTCAGTCTATGTTACTGTGATATTGGAAACATATGAAGGAGTGAGACATCCTAGAAACAGCTGTGTAAAGAGGTCAATGCCCTGGAAAGTACCCTGCAGGCCACATATTGAGAAAACTCGGGGGAACCAGGTCCCTGTGGGGAGGGAAGGAGGAACCTACAGCGCCTGTCCCGCATGAACCGCATACACAGAGCCCACATTCTCCCTAGAGACCACCCAGTCCCCACTGCACAATCGGGGGAGACGTGCAGCTACTGCCACATAGCTGGCCTGCTATGTCTCTGGGCTAAGTCTCACCCAAGCAGGGAAGGGGCAGGACCTCGGGGGTCCTGGGTGCCGGTAAAGCCCCCAACCCACGGGTCTGAGGGGACCGAGGGGAAGCCCTGTGCCAGCGCCAATATGGAGCCCACAGATGCCGGAGGCCTGTGTCCTCCTGGCCTTTGGCTCCGTTTTCCCCTCTCGGTACAGCCAGGTCCACACACTCACCATGTCGCTGTTGTCAGCTTCCTAGGCGCCCAGCGTCCCCGGTGAGTGAAGGTGGAGAGCTGCAGAGGTCGACTTCGCTTGGGAGCCTCCTGGCGGTGGAGCTGTCTCCCAGGAGTTCACTCTGCAGACAAAACTCTCATAAGATTGTGACGTCCAGGCCCCGCGTGCTGATGCACTGTGGACGTCACCTTGCCTGATTGGACAGGTTGCCAGCCTTGAGTGCACGGAACGTCACAAAGCACGGAGCCAATCAGCGTCCCCCATAGCAAGGACCCCTAACTTCAAGTTGTCCTGGATGGGAACAGCGAGAGACAGACCTGGGTTCAGGTCTGAAATGGCCGCCCCTGGGCTCTGCCTCCCGGCGGCTGGAGGGCTCTCACCTCGGAGCTCCTGCTACCCACTGGCCTCGCCCTGGGTCCCCGTCCTTCTCCCTGCGGATGCTGCCTGGAGCTGGCGGTAACCTGTTGCAGTGAGTTACAGTTCTGTTTATCCGATTCCGGCGCTTTCGTTTTCCTTGTATTTCTGCTCATTCTGTTGGGTCGTTTGTATTACTTATTGATTTGAATAACACTTAGATGTAACATAATTTACTCTTTTTTTTCTTTTCTTCTGTTTTCTACTCTGCCTATTGATCTTTTATATTTTCTAGTTATTTCTTGCTGGCACTTGGTAATCTAATGGATTTTTAAAACATTGATCTTTCCCACAACATTAAATTCATTTATCAGTTTATTTGTTTTTAGATTTTATGGATTCTCCCTAAATAAATATCTCCAATATATTGGCAATTTATTGTTAAGAAATTGATCTTTACATCTTATTTTATTTCTTTTTGCTCTCCCCCTCGCCCCCAACTACTCCTCCAATAAGAAGTTGGCACTAGTGGAGACTTCCTGGTCTAGGTTTACTTCCAGGGTAAAAGCTCTCAATGATTCTGTATTAATCATGGTTTTCGTTGTAGGATCCTTTTAAAAATTTTTGATCTGAATAAGAAAGCCATTGCTCTTTTTTACTATACTGCAAGCAGTTTTTAAAAATTACATGCTGATTTTTAAATGTTTTTGAACATTAAATTGTCATGTGATTTTCTCCTTGAATTTGTCACCTACCTGGAAAATTTAGATGACTTGTTAAGAAATGTTAACCACCTCTTGTATTTTTTATTATATGTGACTTGTTATTCATTATATTTTCATATGCGATTTCATTTATTATAAAAATACTAAGGATTTATGCATCTGTATATGAAAGAGAGTTTATACTTAATTTATATTAAAGTTCTAGTCAACCTTGCATCATTATCAATGTAATGCTGGCTTTCTAAAAGAAATCTGAAAATATGCTTTGCTTATTTATACTTTGATACATCTGAGAAATATAGGTGTTTTTTTATTTCTTAAATGTTTGAAATATTTTGTGTTTCTATAACTGAAGTTTTGCTTCTCTAACTGTTTTATTGGCTGGTGGCCTTCAAATTGGGATTCAACTTGCTTGTTTTAATTTGGAGTTTTCCTATTTTATACTTCTTATACTGGATTTTAGGAATTTATATTTGTGTTTGGGAATTTGATTTTCAAAGTATAGTGGATTTTTATCTCTAGTCAAGTTTTTACCCCAAGAGGTTTTTTTGTTTGTTTGTTTGTTTTGTTTTGTTTTGTTTTGACATGCAGAGTTAGATGGTGAGAGAGACAGAGAGAAAGGTCTTCCTTCCATTGGTTGACCCCCCAAATGGCCGCTATGGCCAGAGATACACCGTTCCAAAGCCAGGAGCCAGGTGCTTCCTCTTGGTCTCCCATATGGGTGCAGGACCCAAGGACTTGGGCCATCCTCCCCTGCCTTCCTGGGCTACAGCAGAAAGCTGGACTGGAAGAGGAGCAACCAGAACAGAATCCGGTGCCCCAACCAGGGCTAGAACTCTGGGTACTGGTGCTGCAGGTGGAGGATTAGCCTAGTGGGCTGTGGCTGGGTACTGGTGCTGTAGGCGGATGATTAGCCTAGTGGGCTGCGGCGCCGGCCTTACCCCTAAGAGTTTTGCAATATTTTTTTCTAATCTTGACAAAGTTCTTTTCTCTGTAAACAATTGTTTTAATACATGAAAATGGACACTAGTGTTACTTTTCCCTGTGTTTCCTCAATTACTTTTACTCATAGTTTATTAACTTTGTTAAAATTAAAAAGTATATCCTGGGACTGATGCTATGGCATAGTGGGTAAAGCCACCACCTGCAGTGCTGGCATCCCATATGGGTCCCAGTTCAAGTCCCAGGTGCTCCCCTTCATATCTAGCTCTTTGCTATGGCCTGGGAAAGCAGTAGAAGATGGCCCAAGTCCTTGGGCCCCTGCACCCATGTGAGAGACCTAGAAGAAGCTCTTGAATTCAGATAAGGGCAGCTCTTGCTGTTGCAGCCATCTGGAGAGTGAACCAGTAGATGGAAGACCTTTTTCTCTCTCTGCCTCTGCCTCTGCCTCTCTGTAACTCTGCCTTTCAAATATATAAATAAATCTTAAAAAAATATTTCCAGAAATGAATGAAAAATCTGTCCCAATTGTTCCTCCTCCAGTCCAGCTCTCTGCTGTGGCCCAGGAAGGCAGTGCAGGGCGGCCCAAGTGCTTGGGCCCTGCATGTGCATGGGAGACCAGGAGGAAGCACCAGGCTCCTGACTTCAAATTGGCTCAGCTTGCCGGCCATGGGGGCCATTTGGGGGTTGAACCAATGGAAGAAAGACCTTTCTCTCTGTCTCTCCCTCTCACTGTCTAACTCTGCCTGTCAAAAAAATAAATAAATCTATGTGTGTGTGTATATATATATACACACATATATGCATATATTATTATATTATATATATTACATAGTTATATAACATAGTTATATAGTTACATAACATATATAATAAACATAATTATATAATTTATAATAACATATAATTATATATTAGAATATATCACATTAGACTATACATTATATATCTTAAATATAATATAATATAATATATAATATAATATAATAACTATGTATAATATATATATAATTATCAGCAAACTCAGTAAGAAGTTTATTTAAAAATTGAATAAATACAAATTAAAGTATGTGTTTTTCATCAGATTCAAAACAATTATTGCAACTGTTGACATTTTGACATATATGAGGCAATGGCCATTGAATAGAATGTGAATTTGCAAAAGAAATCAGTGATGTGTACCAAAAGTCTTAGCAATACAGATTATGCTTATTATATACTCTTGTCCCAAATAAGCACTTCCTAAAAAAATCTTTCTTTGGAAAAAATAGGTTTCAGAAGGGTCTATGGAAACTTTTTCTTAGGGAAACTTGAGGATAGAAAAGTAAATATCTAACAGTACAGCATTCATTTAATAGTATATGATAAATCCATATGAAGAAACATACTGTTTAGCTATAAAATATATTTACATTATTAAGCAAAAAAAAACCCTTGCAGAGCAGGATGTATTATATATATAATCCACTATTTTTCAAAAACATGCTTATTTATTTTTTAAATATTGATTTATTTATTTGAAAGAGTTACACAGAGAGAGCAGAGGCAGAGAGAAAGAGAGAGAGAGAGAGGTCTTCCACCCACTGGTTCACTCCCCAATTGGCCGCAATGGCCAGAGCTGTGCCGATCCCAAGCCAGGAGCCAGGAGCTTCCTCTGGGTCCCCCACACGGGTGCAGCACTTGGGCCATCTTCCACTGCTTTCCCAGGCCATAGCAGAGAGCTGGGTCGGAAGTGGAGCAGCCAGGTCTTGAACTGGTGGCCATATGGGATGCCAGCATTTCATGCCAGGGCGTTAACCTGCTGCACCACAGCACCAGCCCCAAAAACATGTTTATACAGATATATTTCCTCAATCCTTGTGTTATGTGAGAGAAGCCATCTGTTTGACTCACATAAGCGTACCTTAAAAAGATCGTGGAAATGGAATTAAAAGTTAAATTTATTTTGGTTCAAAACATGTTGAAATTTATATATACATGGGTTATTTAAAAAGTTCATGGAAAACATGTATTATGAGAAATACATATTTCAAATGTTATGTACCAACATAAACTTATCTTCTACTTCTATTTCCCATGAAATTTTGAAATCCATCAGAAAAACATGGTGTTCCTGGGAAATATCTGGCCATTATTTAATATACTGTAGAGATGCTAAATCTGCCTGAAGTTACTAAGAAAGAATGTGGTCGTGTTAGACACTTTTTCATTTAACCTCTCGGCGTTGTAACCGGTCATCACATTTAAAGAAACTATTTCCAGGTGTTGTGCAATCTGTGATACCGAAATCAGAGCAGAGAGTGTCTTCTTGACGCGGCGGCTCACCGGCCAGAGCCCTAGGGCCAGTTGAAGCGGCTGCCCGCCAGCAGCGAGTCCCGGGTGAGCGTCTCCGCGGGCGTCTTGCCCACCAGGCGCAGCAAGTGGAGCTGCGCAATGAGGGGCGCCTGGAGCGCGCGCAGGGCCAGGCGCACTGGGGCAGGGACAGGTACTGGGCGCGCAATACTCCATGAGAGCCACCTGCGCCTGCTCCTGCAGCCTCTCAGCGCGCGCAGAGGCCGAGAGCGCCATAACCTTGAGGCAGCTGGACTCCATCGAGTCCGCCTGCAGGCGGCCCAGCTCGTCCACTGCTCCTGGTCCAGGAAGGCCACGCGCGCTTGGCCGGCGGTGGCGCCCTGTGCAGGCAGGGGCGCCCTGTGCAGGCAGGGGCAGCGCTAAGAGCAGCCGCGCCGCCAGTGCTCTCACCTGGTCCATGCGCAGCGCCACGCCGCCAACCCCCGCACCTGCCGCGCCCGCAGCTGCACCGGGAACAAGCCTCTGTCCACCGCCGCGCCAGCACCCAGCCAGGAGGGCTACCGGAGGAGACAGCCAGCGCTGCGGGGCGGCAGGAGGGAGAGAGAGAGAGAAGGGCAGGGAGAAGACGGCCAGAGCTAGGCTCTCTCAGAGTCCCCCCACCCCAGCTCCGGGAGAGCCCGGGTCGGGAGGGGGCCGGGGGTCTTCCCCAGGTGGGACTGGGAGCTGGGACCTCGCCCATAGAAAGCAGGTGAGGTGGGAGGAGGGAAACCGAGGCGGGGAGGGCTGGCTGCCAGGCAGGGCAAATTAAGGAGCCTTAATGAGCCCGCCCACCTGGCCTGATGGAATCCATGAGCTCCAGCCTTGGGCCGGCCTCACACAGGGCGCATTACCAGCCCTGGAGGGGACTCGGGACTGGAAGTGGGGCTGAGTCCTGCAGGGGTGGGAGTCAGCTGTCCAGTAGGAGTGGCCAAATGGGGCCCAAAAGTGGTGCCCTGGTTATAAGCCCTGCCTACACCACTCCTCCCCCCCATCCTACCTCAGGGCCTTTGCACCTGCTCACCCCCCGTTCTTCAAACCCCCACCCCCAACTCTTCCTCCTCCAGCCCAGGCTGGGGCGTGGGGTTCAAATCCCACCCACAACTCCCTCTTTAACACCAACCCCCGAATTAACAAATCTGCTTTAGAGCAGTATTGGCCATGGAGGAAGGGCTGCCATGGAGGAAGGGCTACCCTGGTGGCAACTGAAGCCATGGGCTATTTACTGAGGGCCAACTGTATGCAGGGACCCTGGGGCACAACATTGCACAAGACAAAGAGAGTCCCTGGAGAAGTCATTGGGTTCCAAAGCAAAGTAAGGGGTTGTGAGCTGTGATGGTGGGAAGCTGCGCATGGGGTGGGGGGTGCAGCACGTGGCTGTAGGCGCCCCCACCTGAGGGCCGGGCCAGCGGGATTTCAGATCAGCCACGTGAGAAGAGGGGCACAGGTGAACCCCCCAAGCTGAAGGGAGTGGCTTTTCCAAGGGGCTCTGAGCCGACTTTATCAGCTTCCCTCACAGATGCAGTGAGTGGGGAGGACTTCGAAAGCGTGAGAGACTGGAGTCAGACCCTGGGAAGAACCAGCAGACAGAAAGCAGGTATGGGGTGTGCATTTATCCTGAGGCTGGAACCCCTTCTACCCCTACCCCGAGACCACCGCCCCCCCTCCCCGTGTGGAGTCTGGAGAAACTGCAGGGCATTGGAGTTTAGGGCCGTGCTGCTTGGACTGTGTCTGCCCTGGGCCAGGCTGGGGCTTCTGGGGAGGGAACAAGTGTGGGGTCCCCATGGGCTCAGGCTGCCCGGCTCCTGCCTTAAGCAAACAGAGGCAGGGGTGGGAGCAACAGAAACCACATAAATGTGTGTATGTGCGTGTGTGTTTGTGCATGTGTGTGCATGTATGTGTGTGTCTGTGTGTGTGTCTGTGTATTTCTTCAGGACGCAGTGGCCAGGCCTGGGCCGGGGGACCGGGCCCTGGCCACAGCTGTAATTGGATTCCTGCGCCAGTACAGGGTGCAATGGCCCTGGTCTTGTGGTTAGCAGGTGCCAACCCCAGGCCCCACCGGCTGACTGCAGGGAGGATGGGGGCCGCTCACCCTCCTTCCGCAGGCAGCAGGGCTGGGGTGCCATTCACCCACCTACCGCCCGCCCCCACCAGGCTGCAGCGGGGCTGGGGGCCACTCACCCTCCTTCTGCACAACCCCCCCTGGAAGCACTTCTTGAGCCGGCAGGACTGGCACTGGTCACGCTGATGTTGGTCCATCTGACAGTCCCAATTGGACCTGCAGGTGTAGCAGTGTTAGGAGCTGATTGTCTAATGAATATACAGGGTGTGTGTTTTTAAAGCCTGATAATTTTAGACATAACTTTCTCCACGTTTTATATTTCTATATTTTAGTTTTCGTGTATCCATTTGAAAGGCAGAGAGTAATTATACTGTGTGTGTGTGGCAGGAACCCAATTCCTTGAGCCCTCCTGTGCTGCCTCCCAGCGTCTGCATTAGCAGGAAGTTGAAGACAGAAATGGAAACAACACTCAGAGGCCCTCATTCCATTGTAGCAAGGTTGTCTCAAGGAAATTCTTAACCACTTGGCCAAATGCTCCCTCCTGCTTACTACTTTTTAAACACCACTCTCTTACATTACATAGGCCCAGGATCACAAAAATTACCAATTCCAATGTTGGCAAAGCCAATGAAAATGGAGCTCTCACAAAGAAAATGAAAGCCAAGCAAATTATTTAATTAGAAGTATTAGCTTGAATAAAATAATACTTTGAGTTTCGTGTTTCATCAGGTTAGATAAGTGATGGATTTTCAATAGCAATATACACTGAACATAAAAAAGATGTACAAATATTTTCAACCATCAGTATTACACATTTGCAAAAGCAGTGGATGCTTGAATAGTTCTACAAAAATGTGTTCCAAAATCATGTGATTAGTCTTTAAATAAAGGAAATGAATGTTTATCTCAATGAACCATTTCCAAAAGGGCAGAAATACAAAATAAAGCCCCTAACATGAACTGGATATGACAATAATTATCTTTGAAAATTCATTTTGTTTTAAGAACTGTTTCTGAAAACTATTTTTTAAAAAGTAAACAATATTTTAATGGGGAATTACTAACCATGATATAATAAAATATTTTCTGGAATTCTTGATCACAGTTTGAAGCCAGATTTAATTTAAAAAGTTACTAAAGGTGGGAAATAAGGCATACAAGAAAAACTATTTTTAATTTTTAAATGTATCTATATCTTTAAGCATATCAAATGTCAAAATGAGATTATTGAGAAAACACATGGTAATAGAGAATTATTAGATTTATTTCAAAAATTCTTATTGAATTTTTTATAGGCTCTCAAAACTTGATGTAGCAATCTATTTTTTCTGGGACCACTTTTGTTCCTTTGTCCACTCCTGTTAGCATTATTTGGCAAAAGTTGAATGTTGAGGTACACGTGAGAGAATTATTACTCAATTTTCCTGGCCAGTTTTAGGTAAGAAATCAGGAAACAACCACAACCACCACAACAAACACCACTTTCTCAAGAGCATTTGCAGATCAGTTCTGCAGACTTCAAATGTTTTCAGGTTTGGAATGTTTAGACTACCGCTCTCATGCTAAATTCTCAGTGGCTTTCTTTTTATTTCTGAATTGCTTTTTACAAAAAGAATGCAGCATAAGGAACTGACAGCAAAATACACTGTTCCCCAGATGGTTCCAATAATAACTATGCCAATTGTTTGTATTTATATTGCAAACATCATATTTTCACCTAAGTATCACTTACCTCAAATGTTAACTGAATAGTTTTATAGAATTGTTTTTTAAGATTTATTTTCTTTGAAAGGCAGAGTTATTCTACAAAAAGTAACGGATATCATCAATACAAGCATAATTTTAATTCCTTCAAGTGATTGATAGAAAGGTATGTTTTGTACCTTTAATTTGAACAGGATCTCCCCAAAATTAAATTAGATATATTGTTTACCAGTGTGATAAAATGTATCTCACAAAGAGAAAATATGATACAAAAATATAATTTACTTTATTTCTTGAATACTCATATATGTCTTGCTAGACTCAGTTAGAATAGAATCAATATATTTTTGTCAATCTAATTCTGAAATAAAATCAATGAGTAATTTGGAAATGTTTATGAATTATTTTTCTGTTTATTTCTATGGAGGAAGGAGGAATGATGGTAATGTTTCCAAATTCTTCTGGTTAAATGTGGAACAGTTAAAAAATAACATGATATAGTAGTAAGTAAGTCTTAGGCATCCAATGCATGTGCAACCATACATGACACGAAATGTATTAAGTTAATACACTCATTGACTTTTTTTTTTTTTTGACAGGCAGAGTGGACAGTGAGGGAGAGACAGAGAGAAAGGTCTTCCTTTTTCCATTGGTTCACCCCCAGAATGGCCAGGATCCAGGTGCTTCTCCTGGTCTCCTAGGCAGGTGCAGGGCCCAAGCACTTGGGCCAACCTCCACTGCCTTCCCGGGCCATAGCAGAGAGGTGGACAGGAAGAGGAACAACCGGGACAGAACCAGCACTCCAACTGGGACTAGAACCCCATGTGCCGGCACCACGGGTGGAGGATTAGCCTATTGAGCCGCAGCCCCGGCCTATAATCATTGTCTTCTGATACCTGTGGTGTCCATTCCAATGAAGATTCTGATTGGCTAGCTCAAGGACTCTGGTTGGTGTGACTTTAAAACAACTATTGGATTGATTCACATATGTTAAACATAAATTTTAAAATATATGACTACTTTACTTATTAGTCATGGCAGTTAGTATTATCTTTTCTCTTTGCTTTGTAAAACACACAAAAACATTAATTTGCCATATTCTTCAAATTAAGAAAATGGTTTACTGTATGATGATGTTTAGATTCTCTTTGATCACCCAAAGATTGCTTTTTTTTCTTGCCATAATAAATCTACAAGTGAAAAACTGATTCATTAATGATCTTGATCTGAATTAGAGCAGTTGAGTCTGGGGCACTCTTAGATATGAATATTAAAATCTATAGAAATTAATGAAATCACAATGGGGAGACCAAAATTATTTATAAAGGATCATTTATTAAACATTTTTCACAAAATACAAAGATGGTTGTTCTGCAAGAATACATCACATATTAAAAAATAATGTGTTTTTACTGAATTTAATTTGAAGACATTCAGAATTGTTTTGTCTATCCCCTTGGGGAGCCCCTTTGGCTTTGCTCCTTGTCTGACACCATTTCTAAGAAGGAAGAAACATTTTCTTGTTAATTAAGTCATATTCATAACAGCTTTAATTTTATAGAAATAAAATCAGACAGTGTCTGCCACAACAAAGCTCTTTCCACAAAGTAACTGATTTGCCTATGATCCTATTTTTTTTTTTCAAGCTACAAGATAGGACGAATCAAGGAGGAGCTAGGTAAGTTGTATAAAAACTTATTAGCAGCAGTTGATAGTAAATGCAACATAATGTTTGTTTTGTCTGTGGTACAAGAATATGTCATATCAGACTCTATCTACTGTATGTTTCTCTACTTGTACACAAGTAAGCACATACGGATTGTCTCAGAATGACACATGCATAAAAAGGCAGGAAGCTGGCCTGGCTGGCATTATCAGTGCCTATTTTCATCAGCTGAGAGTTTAAAGCAAGTTCATCTTCAACGATTTCACTCTGGAGGCATCTCGTGTAGAAATGTGTCATAATTTGTTCTTGGGTACCCATTTAATTTTTCAGTACAAGCAAAGGCAAACATACCTGCTCACGGTCATACATACAACCAAACATCTCTGACTATTCAAAGAAAATTCACCTTCTGATTTTCATCATGGAAGCATCTTTGATAAGTGGCACTTAGTATAAATCCTCTATAAATCATGCAAAACAGACCCATGATGCCTGAATTTGATAATATTAAAAATCATGGCCATGGCCATCTCTCTGTGAAAACTCTGTTGGGTAAGACTTGCCATCACGGTGCTTCTTTCCTGAGGATGGAGTTGGTCCTGTCTGTGTGGATCATAAGTGTGCATGCTCTGAGCTGTGGTCGCTGTTGTGGCTGTCTTCATTGTCCGGAGAGTCCCCTGTTTGCTGGAGCGTGGCTGCACCGATCCCTGATATCTCTGAAGGGAACAGGGTTCCTTTCTTCACGTTCACCAGTTCTTTTCTTAGGCAGCAGTGCCCAGCTGGCCCAATTTTACCCTCTTCCACTTCATCCTCCTGTTCTGGAACCACACTTTCACCTTGGACAAAGAAAGGAAACACACGAAGCAAAACAGAACATTAAATTCAAGTGCTTTCTCCTTTTGGTCTGCCTAGGAGAACCAGATTCTCAAAGGCTTACATGAAGACACCATGGAAGAGGAGTAAATATAAAAATAATCCCACCCTGAGTTTAATCAGGTTGCATGTTCGTGATAATAATTTATAAACATTCAGAAGATGCACACAAATGATTACCTTTCATATTTAACAACAAAGAGAATTCATTGTAGTATTACCTCCCAGTTTTTGCTTTGTGGATTTAAAAATTAAAAATCACAATAATAAAGAGAAGTAGACAAGAAAGGGCTTATCATTCAAGATGTCTCCAAGGTATTTGGTTCTGCTCTTGCATGATAAACCTGTGATGGGACCTATGTGGATACGTAGCCAGGAGCTTCATCAATAGATTGAATGTTATGTGAATGTTCATCTTAACACACTAATGCGAAAAAAAAAAAAAAAACTGTTTTCCAAGGTTGTATCAGTTTAGTTTTCTTATTCATTCCAGGGCATAAAAGTTCAAGTTCACCCAAATCTTTGCTGCCATTTGGATTTACCAGCTTCAACTTTTTTTTACAACACAATGACAATAAATGTTATCTCACTGTGCTTTTATTTTGCCTTTCCTGTTTTCTAATGGAGTCAAGTATCTTTGAAGAGTTTAGGATCCAGAGTTGGTGTCCATGTCCCATGTTGGAGCACCAGGAGTCCTGGCTGCTCTGTGTCCAATTCACTCCCTGCTGCTGCACCTGGGAAGTGCTGCCATTTGGGGAGTGAGCCAGTGTATGGAAGGCCTCTCTCATTTCTCATAGATAAATTAACTTTGTTTTTAAGAAAATAATGGCCCACTGTAGTGCTTCTATGAAATACCTCCCTGTATCTGGTATGAATTCTTTTTAAAATTAATCTTACTCTTTATGGACTTTAAAATGTCTGAGTCCTAATTTAATACCTTCAGTTGTATAGAAGCTACTATCTTCTCTCAGTTTGTGCCCTCCCCTTTTCTTGGAGTATTTGTTGATGATCAGAAGCTCTTAGTGTATTTATATTTACACACTGTTTCTTTAATGGTTAGAGCTATTGAAGGATACTCTCTGCTGAGGCCACAAATGTATTCTACATCTTCCAAGAGTTTAAGGTTTGCATTTCAAATTGAACCTGTCAAACCAGGAAGTATTGATTTTAGTATACAGAGGAAAGCAAATGCTTCCATTTATTCTGTGTGAATAACAAGTTGTTCTTGTGGCTGGTGCTGTGGTGCAGTGGCTTTACACCCTGGCCTTAAGCACCAGCATCCCATATGGTGCCAGTTCGAGACCTGGCTGCTCCACTTCCAATCCAGCTCTCTTCTGTGGCCTGTGAAAGCAGTAGAAGATGGCCCAAGTCCTTGGGCCCCTGTACCCATGGAAAAGGTTGGGAAGAAGCTCCTGGCTCCTGGCTTCGAATCAGTGCAGCTCCAGCCATTGCAGCCAACTGGGAAGTGAACCAGTGGATGGAAGACCTCTTTCTCTCTCTCTCTGCCTCCCCTCTCTCTGTGTTACTCTTTCAAATAAATAAATAAATATTTAAAAAGAACAAGTTGTTCTAGGTAGCTTTTTACAAAAGTCACCATTTTCTCAGTGATCACTGTTTAAAGCTTCCATGTAGAAAGTGGCTTCAAAAAGCTCACAGAAAATGGAATTAAATGATAACTTCTTGTGTTTCAAGAGGTTTCTGAGGGTTTTTTTTCAAGATTTATTTTATTTATTTAAAGTTATGCTAATGGAGACAGAGAGAGAAACAGAGAAAGAGAAAAATCTTCCATCTGTTGCGTTGGTTCACTCCCCCAAACAGTCAGATGAGCCCACAACCATGTCTGGGTCTCCCATGTGGGTGGCAGGGAGTAAGTACTCAGGGCATTGTCTGCTGCTCTCCCAGGTGCATTAGAAGGGAGTTGAATCTGAAGCAGAGCAGCCAGAACTCAGACTGGTGCTCCACATGGCATGCTGGTGTTACAAACAGAGGCTCAGTGCCCTGCACAACAGCACTGGCCCCATCTGTGAGCTTTTGAAGGCCCCTCATATGCACAGCTTTCTGCTCTACTCTGTTCTGTCCCTGGGTCAATTTTTACCGGTGAGAACATCATATTTTCATTCTTGCTGTAATTTTATACCAGATCTTTGTATCTGATAGGGACAGGTCTGTTTCACCACCAAATATATTTCATTCTTTACACCAAATATATCTTGAATGTTCTGCATTTTCATATTTGAAATCATCTCAATTTCTGTGAATACACAGTGCCAATGGGAATGTGCTGAGAAATAACTCAAATTTCCAAAGACATATTTATGTCTGTAACCTTCAAATCACATGATTCATAAAAGTATAAATTCCTTAGACATTTACACAATTAAATACTGAAATTGAGATGATTCTTAACTAGGGATTGTCACTGCTTTCACTGCTGGGTTCAATTAACAACATGTCTCATTTATTACCTATCTATACACTAGTCCATTTGATAAAAATAATACAATATAGTAAAAATTTGATTTAAAGTCAAGTGGTGAGGGGCCAGCACTATGGCATAGCATGTAAAGCCACCACCTGAAGTGCCAATATCCCAAATGGGTGCCAGTTCAAGTCCTGGTCACTCCACTTACAATTCAGCTCTCTGCTATGGCCTGAGAAAGCAGTGGAAGATGGCCCAAGTTGTTGGGCCCTGCACCCATGTGGGAGACCCAGAAGAAGATCCAGACTCCTGGCTTCAGAT